TAGCCATACACCTACCCAAGTCTTGGACGACAAGGCTGAGCACATGTGTGCTGCAGGCACTTAGCCGCAACCGAACCAACACCGACGCAAGTCAGTATGCAGTCTACTATCGCAAGTAAGCTGGCGGGGAACTTCTCGAAGGAATAGAAGCTCCCCAGCCTTCCTCGAGTCACCAATCTGCCGTTCGTGAGACCTACATCGACGTGTCTCATATCAACCCCATGGAGACACCACTTTACAGCACGTGCGACTGTCGCGACAGCGCACTCTCTTCTACCGCCAACGTCCTTTCCATCTTAACATTCGCGTACATTCTGATAGCTGGCACTCTCTACCAGGTGGCTGCGCTCTATCGAGTGAAAAGTGATAGCGACTGGGCTGCAGTGCAGGCGCAAGCGACACGACTACGAGACTTTGCATGGTCGATAGAACGCAGAGACGCTATCAGCACTGAGTTCTTCAAACGGCTCGACGATCTCGATAAGGAGATAGCAAGGAAGCTTCCTGGCAATGTCGCAACAGGGAAATGGCATCTGGTATGGCGGCAGGCAAGGAGCACCTGGGACAGAGCTGAGATAGAAGAGAAGCTATACAGTCTGGCGCAGATGCGGTATGTTTTGACGGGAGTCCTCTATTTTCCCATAGAGTGAGAGGAATAACAGGCTAACGCTCAGTCCACGCATCAGTCTACTATTTCTCGAGAGTGGATTGAATGACGTTGAGCAAGACAATAAGCCGACGGACCAAGTGCTAGACAAAGCTCGCACCCAGCTCGAAGAGTCGAAACGCCTGTTCCTCACTCAACTCAGGAGCGAGCCCAAGGAGCGGCGAAGACGAACGCTAGATGCGATAAAGAGCGAATCCGGGGAACGAGGGCGCGCAGCTTGGGAGGAGATTGAGGATGTGATCAAGAGGCTTGATGCAGAGGATGTGGAGCGGCGTGGAACCCGGGGGTTTGTCGAAGGCGTTTGATGAAGTGCGGAGCGCAAGAGACGGGGGTTCCCGCTCATAATACGATTCAAAGCGCGTCCATGTCTGTAGATTTGCGCCCGTATCGCAAACAAAAACCAAAGTTCAAAAAGATCCAAGTCAAAAAGCACGATGCAGGTGGTGTTGAGAGGATGGCACACCGCTGGTGGCAGTGCCTCGGCTCACGGGGATAGCGGCAATGAGCTCCCCATGGCTTGCGTGCGGAGAAGCATTACCCTTTACCTCATTCTACCCAGACTTCCTGACCTCCTGCATGCTCATCATTACATATACGGCCCAATCTCGCCATGTCTGACGAAACCGAGAAGCCCACCCAGCCCGAAGCGTCCAATGTGACTGACACCCCTGACGTCAAGGAGGTGGTGGATAAGATAGCGGATGCCGCACCCAGGGCGGATCCGAGGGACCTGGACAGGACCGACTTGCTTGCAGGCGTCAAGAAAGTGGACCAAACGATTCTGAGGCTGAACAAGTACGTCAGGTCGAGCGTGTGTCGTTGTGAGGGTCAGAGGCATGAGCTAATGTAGGGCAGACTCCTAGCTTCCCCAGGCGGCCTCTCCGCATTCCTCTCCACATTCAACTACTCCCTCTACATCCTCGCCTACGTGCAGACCAAATCGCCGTCCATATCCAGCTTCGCGACAAGGCTCCTCACGCTGATCCGCCCCGCTTGCGACGATGCAAAGATCTCCGCCGCAACGCTATTGAACAATGGCACGGTGCCGCCCATCGCTGCGCTCGCCGTCCTCATCTCGAAAGCGCGCACAACGCTGAGGCTGTTTGGTCTCTTCCCGCTGTACGCCTGGTTGCGCTCGCTAGCCTCAGGCCCCAAAGCCGGCACAGATGTCGTGCTGCACCGCATCGCCATGCTGCAGGCGAGCAGCTACTTCTCCTACCAAGCCCTAGAGAACATCTCCCTCCTCGCCGACTCGGGCGTCATCTCGCCCCGCTTCATCTCCACCCTCAATCGCGGCGATTCGACGACTGCCCGTTTATACCTGTATGCCTACCGCTGTTGGCTAGGCGGCGTGTCGTGCGACTTCCTCCGCTTGATGCGCGAGTGGCAGCTCGAGGGTCGCAGGAGGGCGACTAGGCAGCAGATGGTTGCCGATGGCCGCGCAATCGCAGAATACCAAGACGAAGAGGACAAGAAGTTTGACAACAGGTGGTGGACCGACTTCGTTATCGCAAGCGCGTGGTTGCCCATGGCGCTGCACTTCAGCAGCACGACTGGAGGGTTGCCAGGCTGGAATCTGGGATGGATGGGTGCATGTGGCTTGGTGGCTGGAAGTACGAGGTTCAAGGCGCTCTGGGCAAGTACAGCGTAGGGGATTTGTTACCATGGTAAGAGGGCTTACTGGGTTTCGGCACAATTTACATATCTTTGAGCGTGTAGCTTTTTTGACAGTCGAGGTATTCATGGAGTTTGAGCCCGTACGCTGTCCATGTTGTTTTCCACAGTTCGGTCATGGTGACCATGTGCTGCCGCGGCGATTGCACCTGCCCTAACCGTATCTTTATGAAGCGATACAAGCCGTTCGCGAAGTAAATGCGGAACTCACCTGCTTCTACACTACATGAAGCTAGCCGTATAGGGAAAGCTCAACCGACTATCCAGAAGTGGGGAAGTGACTATCTCCCAGACACGATTACGTCGGCCCATCCTGCTCCTGCCTGGGCCACGAACATACAATCGACAACGCTGGCGTCACCACACGCCCACACGAATTGGGTCTCACTATCTTTTGGAACACCTTCGTTGAACTGAGCTGTTCCTGAAACATGGCAGGCAGTAGTGTATGTTCGCGACCACCAACGACATGACATTGACTGACTCATTTCCGGATCTAGGGTCTTGGTCTCAATCCTCAAGACTTTAACATTGTCGAAGCTAGTATCGGTGATCATCTGAAAGCTCTCGACGAACAACGGATTACCAGCGTGGATCTTGTCATCAGCTGTCTGAATCGCATTGCCAAGTTCGATACTATCCAAGGTCTGAACGCCTTTACTGTATTCAACGAGAAGGTTCTTCAAGATGCAGCAGCTTCCGATGCTCGGCGTGCCCAAGGTCTCAAGCCTCGACCTTTGGAAGGTATACCTTATACGATCAAAGATAGTTACAAAGTTGCCGGCATGACAGTCACAGATGGCTCACCTGCTCTGAAAGGTGTCATGTCGAGCGGCGACTCTGCAATCGCTGAGAACCTTCGAGCTGCGGGAGCGATCTTGATTGGAAAGACTAACATGCCACCGATGGCTGCGGGTGGTATGCAGAGAGGCATGTATGGTCGTGCAGAGTCACCGTATAACTCAAAGTACCTCACTGGCGCGTTCTCATCTGGTTCGTCGAATGGTGCTGCAACGTCTGTGACGTCCAGCATGGCAGTCTTCGGCATGGGTAGCGAGACCGTCAGCAGCGGACGAAGTCCAGCGTCCAACAACGCCATCGTATGCTACACGCCATCGAAGGGGCTCTTGAGCTGTCGCGGGTTGTGGCCTTTGTACATCACATGCGATGTGCCAACTCCGTATGCGCGATCGGTGGACGACATGTTGGAAATACTGAATGTCATCGCTACTCCAGATGAAGACACATCAGGGGACTTCATACGCGAACAAAAGCATGTGCAGATACCTCAGCCTCCTTCAATCGATTACACTACTCTACGAAACGGCGAAGCGCTGCAAGATAAGAGGGTCGGGGTGCCGAAGATGTACGTTGGCCAGAAAGACTCAGATCCGCACGCAAAGCATCCTTACGTCTCACCAGAGGTCGTCGCAATATGGCAACAGGCAGCGGAAGACATTAAGTCTATGGGGGCAGAAATCGTCTATACTGATTTCCCTCTAATAACAAATTACGAAAACGACTCCCGTTCAGGTGAGGCGAACAACGTCGATGGACGTCCCGCGAACTGGAACCTTCTCGAGCGAGGCGTTCTTATCGCCCAAGCGTGGAACGCTTTTCTCGTAGACAACAATGATCCCAGCATCAAGTGCTTAGCCGACATCAAAGATCCCGCGATGCTATTCCCAAAGCCACCAGACTACAAGCCGGATCGCTTTCTCGAAGTGAGGAATTGGATTGATTACCCTGGTCTGCCCAAGATGGTCCAAGATGGTAGTATACATGACATACAGGGTATGGAGCAAGCTCTCAAAGCTCTCGAAGCTCAAAGGAAACGCGATCTAGAAGACTGGATGGACAAAAATGGGCTGGATGTCGTTGCATTTCCTGCGCAAGGCGACGTCGGTCTCGCAGATCTTGAATTCGACATTGACAGCACGACACATAGTCTGCAGAATGGCGTAAAATACTCCAACGGTAATCGCGCGATCAGGCATCTCGGTGTACCTACTATGAGTGTACCCATGGGTGTCATGAGCGACAAGAACGTGCCTGTGAACATCACATTCGCTGGGAAGGCTTACGAAGATACCAAGCTATTGGAGTGTGCATATGCGTTTGAACGGGCAACCAAGAGACGTATACCGCCTCCTCTTACCGCCCTACCCACCGATATCATCCGAAAGGCATTCTCCCCGCCACCTAAAAACAAGCCTCTTATTGAGTGCGTTGCAGCTGTCTCCAACACTATCTTGGGCCTCAATATCCAAGCCTCCATGGTCGCCAACGGTGGCTCTGACCATCCATCGCCAGCAACGTCACTGGAGGTCTTCGTAGACGGGGAGGCGGTATTTCACGAAAACACCAACAAGTTGGAGTGGAACGTTTCGTTTTCAGATGAAGTTCAGAGGCCGGAAGTCCTGGGGTGGGATCTCAAGCCGTTGCCGAAGAGAGACATCATGGTCATCGTGGTTGTGAAGAGGCAGTTGGACGCGGAGGGCCTGCAGAGGGAAGCAAGGGTACTTTGGGTACCTGTCGATGAACTTGGTGAAGCGTCTGCTTGAATATCTGCAAAGACCTACGGCGGTGCGATATCCCCCACTCCCATTGACGAACCACTTGGTATGCCACGCGATTACAGAAGCGAAGACCTCCCACTTTAGTAAATGTGAGCTGTCTGAGTGACGTGCTCGTCTGAGATAGCCTGACCGTCCATGATGCCGTGTACATACGCGTCTCCAACAAGACGAAGCTCATGATATTCATTCTCAACTTCTTCTGTGTTTCTTTCCCGCATAACAAATGGTACTTTGCCGTTATAAAAGACCCAGATCTGGTCTCCCGGTAAGGTAGTAGGCGGGCCCATACCGAGGTAGCCTCTCTTTGTAACGAAGAAAGCATGGTTTGGTACCATACCACAGAGAGATTCAAATAGCCCGCTCATTCCGTGTGGAGGATAACTGGACTGGTGGCCTTGTTGCGAGAATTGTTCATTGTTGAGTGCGCGTTCGATCTCGAGAAATTCCGAAGCGTGTGTTGCTTTCGCTCGTTCGATAGGATACTCAGCCATGACGAGATCACCGACCATGGTCCGCCACAGGGGTTCGCACGACTGTGCCGGATCACGTTTATAGCTATCCCGTTCTTCCACTAGTTGCCTTGCGTCGGACATTATGTCCCGTATCTTCCGATAGTCAAGATATTCCTCATCGGAAACCTCGTACACGCTGTTGACTTGCTCTACTTGGTCGACCAGCAGACCTGGTAAGGATAGACATGTCCAATCACTTGATACCTTCGGTACTGAGCCTCCCTTCTCGAGCTCTTGTTCGCGCTCGATTCTACCACCTGCCGAGAACTGCCTGTATCGGTGCGAGTGATTCCACCACTTCAGCTGGCGCTTGCCTACACGGTTGGAGCATGCGAAGTCGATCGACCAACTCGGTAGATTGGGAGTGACATGCGGCATCTCGCTGGACGCAATCAGAGGCCTAAGACCTTCTCCAAATAGCAGTAGATCGCTTGTAACCATTGCAAATAATAAAGATGCGGGTATCGAGTAGCTACGCGCTTGAGCGTGTGGAAGAGTCTCTGTAATCTGACGCGCATCAAGCAAGCCCAATAGCCCATAGATCTTATCGCGTGGATCGGTAGCTTTCCGATGGCGCCAGCGCATGAACAAGTCTAAACCGGACTCGCCATCAGTCGAATGTAGAAACCCGTTGACAGGATACAGAAGACCACGGAGAAGTGGGGTATGCATGATGCGCTGATATCGAAACCTGGGTGAGAAAGAGCGAAGATTGTCGCCACGCAGATGCTGTACCACTAGGAGTATGTTGCGCCGTGACACTGAGAGTGGGCCCCATCTGAACTCAGCTGAGTGGGGCAGTATTGACTCTTGAATTGTCCAGATGCGCTCCCACCAGGTATTTCCATACATAGCAAAGGCTGCAAAGGCTTTCCGGGCCGTCACGCCTGCGGCACCTTCTTGAAAGAGCATGGGGAGGCCATCCTCGGGGTCAACGCCTTTACTAGACAAGTCGTAGGCCTCTCCTGCTGATGCGTTTCTAATTGCTGGCCTGTTGGCCACAGCTTCGAAGAACGCAAATACTGCGTATGTGTCCGCCTCATTTATGCCATGTTCGGCATATTGGATCTCACCCAGCCATAGAATGCAATGTGCGCATTTACTGTAGATTTCTCGCATCAAGGCAACTTGGCTGGCCTTCTCTTCCATATCCCACTGGTTGATGCATATTTGGTCAACCCATAGCGTGCGAATTTGGTTTGGATAGCGTAAACGTCGAAGAGCGTCGTGGAGGTTTGGCGAGATGTTGACGGGGCTTCCTGACACTTGAAGGCTTCTTTTCTCGATTGCATCTCCCCAAACATATGATAGCGCTTCATATTGCGCATCTCCATCGACACTAACGTTTCGGATATGGCACTCGATTGTTTCGTCGGGACAGCCAGGTAGTAGATCCAAGACGCGGATCTCGCGGTTGTTGGGTCGCTGAGATACTATGTACCTAGGTAAGTCAGGTGGTTATCCAGTCGTGATGGTTCATCAATTTACCTGAAGCCTCCATCGCGATCGAGCCAGGGAGAAGAGCCTTAGATCTTTCAAACAAGATGAATGTAGCGTGCAAGCGAAAGAGTGTCTACAAATGAATCACGTGTACGGTAGCTGCTGCATAATGAGCTGCCTGATCAGCCAAGAGCGGGCTGATCAAACAGAGCCAGAAAACATCCCATGGCCTGCATGCCCAGGTGGTGATATAGAAAATTGTAACGTACAACACTTGCGCTGTTCACGACAGCATTCTCGTGGAGTTCTTAGAAGCTCAAGCATGGCTGCTCCGTGTGGGCGTAGGAACGCTGCCAAGAGTGGGTCCATGGCGCGTCATCTCTCGCGTCAACCAGACCTCGGGAAGTGTGCCCTCTTCACCTCACTTCACCACCACCAAGTCGTACACGATATGGACGCATCCTATAGGACAGAACTATCGACGCGCCTGTGCTGACCTAATACCCGATCTCCGTCTCAATTCACCTCTTTTGTTTCGCCATAGCAGTTCATGTCGGCTGTCATCTCAGCACGTTCATCATTTTCACAAGCAAGAAGACCGAGCCGATGAGCTGGAGTATGTTCAGGGCCATTTTCAGCAGCACCAGAACCCTTTGGTTCTCTTGGTCACCTATTCCGGCCTTTATGTGCCAGACTGTTCCACCTTCGCTCATGCTTTTCAGAGCCTGGTGTATACTCGTATTTGTTCCAGTGGGATTGAGCAATTTTATATCACAACTGTCAGAGTCCTTTCAAAACGCGCCTCATCTTCCTACCAATACAGATGGTATCTAGCATCCACGACGCATCTCCACAGTCCGCATATCGATCGTGACAGAAATCCCCGTTGACTAAGGCCAGCAGACAGTGACCGGCAACATGACTGTACGGTCTTTGTCTCGTGAATATGTCACAAGATCTATAAGATGGTTCTGATCAGAACATCCCATTATCTCTATTTTGACGCGCGGACCATGAGTTGCGTCATCGCTTCATGGCAGGCTCTCGCTGACTCAACGCACTGACGGTTCTGGACGGTCTTTAACTGCTCCAGGCAACGTTGCTAGGAGTGGTGAGCGTTTGCAAATTTCTTTCGGGGTCTTTTTGAAGGCTTTTCATCAGCCCTCACCACTCACCAGTGCCCATAACGGAAGTCTTTCGTCGATCACACGCGCCTGCTGAACTTCTTCACTCTTCTGCGCCTGAGTCAGATGATTCGATTCTTCTAATTTCTCTGCACGTCCTTCATATCTCTGCTGCTATAAAGAGCATATCGTCTCCTCTGGCTTGAACGATTTCTCTCACTCTTTCGACTCATAATCTGCCCTGAGACCAGTTCACTATGGAGCGGAGTCAGGATAGCGATCGAAATCAGTGCGAGTATGTATTCACGAGCGAACCTTTTGAAATCAATGCTTACAATATATAGTGCGGCGCAGACTCAGCCATCTGGCATGTCCCCAATGGCAGACAGCTCGCCTTTATCAGAACTTCCCGAAACTCCCTCTCTAGAAGTGAGCAGCGCGATGCGAGGTAACGATGGACGCGTCGAAGCGCTCAAAAATGATGACGGCGAAGAGTCTACGGACGAAAGTTCCGACACCAAGAAGCCATACGCATGCCAGTATTGTGGCAAGACATATGTCAGCGAAGCGAAGCTCAAAGTACGTATCAGAAGCCCACGTTTCATCTTCACGTACTGACCTAACTATAGCGCCATACAAGGGATACCAGATCCAAATGTGCAAAGAGGCGCCTCGGGGGTAGCATGAGTGACAGCGTCTTTGCCTGTCCACGGTGCGATGCCCAGATGTCCAAGAAGTACTCTATAGAGGTCTGTCGTCCGTCCATATCCTTCAGATAAACATCGCTAATTGTGAATCAGCGGCACATCAAAGACTCATGCTGGAAGATTTGTGACGAATGTTGCAAGGGCCATAAGTCGACGTGCGATGCCTATTATACCGACGACGCCTGTAAACATTGCCTGCAGCAGGGACTTGCATGTAACAAGCACAAAGAGCAAGTGTCCGACTGCAACCCAGAGTTGCTCACAGACACACCCACACAACCGTACAAATTAGCTCCTAGATCTAGTCGCGCTGGCACAGTTGCCAAGGACGACAAAGGCAAGCGTAAGGCCACCGACTCACCAGTTGCGAGTCCAAAGTCCAAGCCGGTCGCCAAGCGTGCAACTGCTGTTGCCAAGAAAGAGACAACTACAGCCACTGGACCAAGTCAGGACGCTGGCCGTTTGTATCCTCCGTTTGCGTCGCAGTCTGACCTTGAGAGGTCGCCCCAGTATCATATGGATATCGAAGAGAACAGTACGTGTCCTCCAAAAACTCCTTATCTTGAATGACTGCTAATGACCACAATTCCAGTTGGCGGCTTGAGATCCTCGACGCACCTACAATCGCGCGATCACGTTCCAACTACACTACCCCCGCAGTCGACACTCATGTCCCAGCACGTACAGCGAGATCAAGCCCGAGGATACCCAGTTCCGCAGCAGCAGGTTCCCATACCACCCTTGATACCCGGCCAACAATACAATGGTCGCGATGTCATGACTCCGCAGCAAGCTCTGGCTCGCTGGCCAAATATCCACAATAGTTCTGGTCTTATGACATATATTGTGGGGCGGAATGGAGAGGTCCTGAATCAATCTGCGATAGATGGTGATGAATTGCTCAAGAAGTTGAATGCGCAACAGAGACGTATCGCAGCCATGGCAACTCGACACAACAACGGAGTGCGTGTGCCTATACCAACTCGTCCAGCGCCACAGGCACTGGACGAACATCGCACCCAGTTCAACCATGTGCATTCCCCTGAGTCTCGTTTGACGCGCTTCCGACCCATCCAATCCGCCAACTTCAAGGTGTATGAGGAAGCTGCTCGTCGTAACATTCGGCCCAACGAGTTCCTTGCAAGCGCGCCTGGATCTCGCATGCCTTCTCGTCAGACGTCGGCCCAGCCAGCCGCCGACTTGAACTTGCCGACACAAGGGCAGCTTCAAGGAATTAATACGGCTGCTTCGACTACGAAGGGACCGGTAGCTCATAAGCTCACAGAGCCAGTAAGTGGGATTGTTTCCCGGCTCTAGAATCTAGTCACTGACAAGTTTAGATTGCTTTGCAACGCTCTGCTCTACCCGTAGCAGACGAGAACGATCCCATAATGACGCTCCGTATTCATAGCAATACATACGACATCAATGGCACTCCCATTTTCTCTATCCTTACGATCCGTGCGTCGCAGAAGTTCGGCCCTCGTCTAGAATACTATTGTCAACAGCGAGGCAAGCAGTACGACATAGACTGGGTTTTCATATACCAATACGCCCTAGGCGGCCCGGACGATGACGTGCGAGATCGTTACATCAAGATCGACTACAACATGACCTTCAGCGATGTTTATGATCCTGAGCGTCCCGACATCAAACTCCGAGACATGGACACCATCATGATCATGAAAGCCAAGTCCCGCCTCGCAACCATGATCGATAATGGTCGCAGGGGGATCGAAACTCCGCTATCGCCAACTGGCTCACAAATTTCGGAAGACAATATCGACATCGTTGACGGCGAGACCCCGATCTTCCAGAACGCCGGCACCATTGCGAACTGGAACCGCATCGTTGAGAGTAAGATGATGGAGTTGCGCAATCAGGTCAACACCTTGACATCTGAGAACCAGCGCCAGAAGACGGAGTTGGCTAGGCAGAACCAGATGCTCGGTGACATGATCAAGCGCAACGATGCGTCTTTGCGGAGCAGTCATCCACAGGCTACTGGTCGTGGTGTTCATGCCTTCCCCTTCGTTGGTCATTCAGCTGCAAACTTCCATCCCGGCATCCAACGTGGCCCAACTGTCCAGCGCAATGCGTTCATGGACCGTCTGGAATCAGTTCGAGAACCCACCGTGTCAAACGAGTCGCGAAACCGCATGCAGCAATACCAGTTCCCGACTCATCACCCCGGCATGCAAGGTCGCCGGCCCACTTACGATAGCGGCGAGCGTGAGGCGTTTCCGGACTTCCAGAGGATTGGTGCGGCGACGACTCAACCTACACAGTTCTCTGTATACGGGATGGGTGACGACATGACTTCGTATGTTCCTGTTCCGCAACATGTACAGGGCGGGAGTGATGAAATGGGCGCTCCGATGGTGAAGGTTGAGGATGTAGAAATGGGGGATGAGGACTTCAGTTCTAGCTACTGAGACACGGGTGCTTCGTATCCGCCCTGTAGGAGACGTTAAGGTGTACTTTGGGCGAGAGAAGCGTTCTGATGGTTAAACTTCAGTGTGTTCAGCTCCGTGCCGTCAGATCTGCATGTACCTGCTTTAGTGCCACGAGCCTGAGCTTCGTAAATGTGGTGTTCCAGTCATGCTGTCTGGACTAGCGACGCGCTCATCTACCATCGGCAACAGCATGTACAAGCCTTTTCTAATAATAAACGTTTCCACTCGCTGGTTTGACGAGAACTTCATTCGCAGTGAATCGTATGATGCATGTACCAATGTACTCGGCTGCTTTGAGTGTTCTCCAACCCGTGACTCTGACGTTTCGTAAGACTTTATCGAGAAAAGACAACAATCTAACGTGATATTACAACAATGCTATGCTAACGCTAAGCCGACAGAAGTATGTTTAGGCAACGGTGCATGCGACACCAACTCCTGAAATGCCCAACGGATATTCTATAGTTCCCAAACGCCCACATATCCAACCCTAGAGACCATAGTCCCTTAATCACTAGCATACCCGCTCTCCTTGCCGCATTTGACATGCACCAACTCCGTCTTGCCGTCTCCATCAACAACAAGCGCCGTCAGCTTGCCCCCACTAACACACCCCGTATCCAGACCATAGGAGTATTCATGTATATTGAGACCCTTCTTTCTGTTGTGTCCGTAAACCACCGTCGCCCTATCCTCCTGCTTCAGCTTCTCCTGGTGATGATTCCAGAACTTCTCCCAAGGCGTGCCCGAATGTTTGCTACTCGGTATTCTCGT